TTAGTGCTGGTTCAGTTCTGGTTTAGTCCTGTTTTAGTCCTATTTTAGTCATGGTTTAGACCTGGTTTAGACCTGGTTTAGTTCTGCTTTAGTCCTGGTTTAGTCCTGGTTTAGACCTGTTTTAGACCTGTTTTAGTCCTGGTTCAGTCCGTATGTGGCACAAAAATCTGGCATCACAGTTTAAGTCACAGAAAACTGAAAATAAAAATTGAAAAAACGAATCGTTATCCATTTTTTTAAATTTTGGTTTTGGAGACAAATAATGAAGAAAATAGTTGTTTTTTTTAATTTTCTTATTTTTGGTTTTATATTGAAAAACGAATGAATGAATGAGTGATACGCTGATTGTTTAATGTCATACTTTGGAAAATTCCAGTGAAAGCAATAACATCTCCATGGTGACAAACAGGTATCAGAAAAGTTACACAGTGCACCTTTAATATATAATTTTAATGACAGAAGTGAATATTCTGTTTTATAAGACACAACTTTATGAGAGTACAATCTGGTGCGTAGGCTTAGGGGAACTGCAGAGATGTATTGTATGAGGGGAGAAGACTTTTTTTAACCAAAACAAATATATTTTGAAGTACGCTGACTTGGAGTTTTCTCCCACTACGTATATTATTATTATTTTCCGAGCCTGTCTTCGGAGGTTTAGTGCGTTTCAAGGCAGTGTTTTCCTCAGCCCCTCTCCACACCTGTCTCATGGAAAAATAGCGCTCTGAAGATGCTGTACGCTGCACTCTTCCAAACACACAAAAGTTTTATTTACAGCTTATAGTAGTGGAAGTTATGTCATTCTAAAAGTCTGTATTATCACATTGTTTTTAAGATTTAAGATGATGTTATACTAAGGTTGTCAAAAGTATCAAAAATCAGAGGCTAATTGGTACTAAAACTAGTATCGAAACTATACTGATTCTAATATGAGCATTGATTAGGGATGTAACGATATTCAGATCTCTCGATACGATATTTTCACAATATTCATCCCACGGTACGATAATTATTGCGACATTTTGTAGGTGCAACCAAAATTGTGATAATGCTTTGACATGACTTTTGCTCTGCCATAAACAAAAGAATTAAGATTTAAACGTGCTTAACAATTGTGATTCTTCTTATTATTTTTATTGCTTTTCATGTAGCCTTCACTGTAATGGAGCAAAGGATCATGGTCTATGTAGTTCACTCTTTTGTTTTTGCTGTTGCTGCACCAAAACATTTAATTAGGCAAAGAGACTTGTAATTCGATAAATTGTGATGGTCCACGATATTATTGTGAGAACTTTGACGATACAATATCACGATATTTAAGTTATTGTTACATCCCGGGTATTGATACTAAAAAAAGTCCCATTCACAGGACAGAAATAAACCAGAATAGCTTAGATCTTGAGCTGTATCAGGACAAGTATAAGCACACATAGATTAGTATACGCCCATGGACCACTGTGGAACCTACCTAGATCATCAAGACCAGATAGAAATATAAAAGATAGTACTGTTATTTAATGTTGAAAATCACATTCTATTGTCTATTTTATTTTTTTTATCATTGGGATATCAGAATAGGGATTGAGTATCAAGTCTATTATATCAAAATTGACAACATTTATTTTATTTATTCAATATTTTACCAGGTAAGTCAGTTGAGAACACCTTCTCATTTACAATTACGACCTGACCAAGAGACAATATAAAAGAGAAGCACAAACAGAAAACACTCACACAGCAACTATAACATGAAACAGTGAATAGAAATATAAGACAGTAAAACATTTGAAGATTAAAGATATAAAAGTGTTAAACCATTTGCAGTTATCCTGTAAAATACTCTGGATGGAGTTTTTAAAAGTCGACAGAGGTAAAAACAAACTAAGTTTTAAAGTCTGTTGAAGGTGGTTCCAGTCACTGCAGAAAACTGAAATGAGGAATGGCCGAAAGCTGTGCGGGCTTTAGGAACATAAAGGTGCACTGTGTAACTTTTCTGGTAGAGGGTCTGTCACCTAGTCAGGCTGGCGCCACCTAGTGCCTCCGCTCAATTTAATTTCTCTCCAGCGACTTGGTTGGGAATCAGAACACACTAGATGGTTTGCAAAAACACCGGAAGTTGTAGACCGTGCACCGGCCAATCAGCGAAGAGCCGTGAAGCCATGATGTCAAACTCAAGCGTCTGTCTGGGTCCCTTTTGTGGAACAGCACTACAGTAAACAAAGCGGTCAAGATGGATGTAGACGAAGACAGACATTCTGTGTTGGCAGCAATTCCAGAGAGGATTTAAAGCCGGAACAAATAGAATGTTTGGTGAATTTTATCAAGGGGAAAGACGTTACTGCCCTTCTTCCTACGGGATTTGGCGCATTACATAAGTCACGACCAAACAGCAGCGATTGGTGAACTAAAAAAAGTACGAAGTGAAACCTGCTGGTGAATCAGGCTATCTATCACCAGCTTCTCTCCATGGAAAGTTTGCACGGAATGTTCCACAGTATGGCATTACACATTTATCTCACAGAAAGAATGCAGGTTTTTAAGCGAATAAAACCCCATGTTATTGAGTAAATGCAAGATGTTTAATGCCACACCGGGATATTCCAAACAAAGCAATAACATCTCCATCAAGCCACAAAGATGTCAGACCCTCCATCGTAAAAGTTACACAGTGCACCTTTAATTTTATTTTAGCAGATGCCTTGTAAATGTCAACTTTTATTTTATTCCAGTTTTTAAAAATTATAAACCTTTTTAGATGTAATTTTAGTCAGATTCATGCAAAAATAGGCTGTCAGAAAAGCTCTTGATACAGATGAATTACTAACACTTTAATTAACTAATGAAGTAATATTGGAGTAGTATTTTTCATCAAAATCTCCAAATCTGTGTTGTTAAGCCATTTTGAATTGGGTTGTATAAAGCCTGTTTTCTCAGTTAGCGTTCGTTTAAAACCCCGAAAATGATTGATTATTAAGTCCGTCATTGATTTTGTAATAGCTGATTAGTCACAATTAGTCCAAGTAGCTATAGCAACCCTAATGATCTTATATTTATCCAACCACATCACCAAATCATCTTATTAGCAACAGTCAATTTACCCGCTCCCCTCAATTAAACATTTCTACACTACCTAAAGTTTGGACTCACTATCTCATTTAAAGATTTTTACTACATTTTTATTTCTACATTTGATATACACACAGAAGACATCAAATATATATAAAAATAAGATGTATATAGTTATGTAACAAAGAAAAAAGTTACTGTACTATTTATTTTTTAAATATTTTATAACCAAATCCTCGTAGTGCTCACCTTTTGCTTTGTCGAAAATTATTTAAATCTTTTTTATTTACTATATAAATCCTTATATGTGATGTCTTCAAATGTAGAAAGTTAAAAAAAAAAACATTAAATGAGAGTGTGTGTCCAAACTTTTGACTGGTCATGTGTGTTTGAACCAAATGAAGCAGAAAAAGCACACAGAAGATCTTGTAGTGGTGCAAATCCAAGGAACAGCTATTTAAAAGTGGGGAAAAAAAAAAAAAAAAAAAGCATAGCACATTCAGATGGGCTGGCAACTATTTTGTGTACTGTGGTCTAAAGCTGATGAAGGCTTTTAGCTGAAACGTTATTTAAACATAAAACGTTTTTGGACATCGGCCATCTGAGTGTGCTATGCATTTTTTCACATGTATGTTTGAACACCAATACAAAGCAAAAGGAGGCATTTGAGCATTTTTTTTTTTAATTCCTTACATCTTATTTCATATATTTGATGTCTGCATATAAAATGGAAACTAGTAAACATATCCAAAAAAAAAAAAACATTAAATGAGAGGGTGAGTCCAAACTTTGTATATAGCTGAGATATATTTGTTAGGGGTGTAACGGTACATGTATTTGTGACGTTCGGTTCTGTGAGTTCATGCAATTTGTGTGTGTTTACATCCCACCACTACATGTGCAGCTACCCAGAAGACTCTGCTCTTTAATATTCATGAGGGAACTCGTCCGTGATTGGGGCAGCAGTGTTTCCCGCAGTGCTTTATAGTTAGGGCGCCCACCTCGACAACAATTGCCCCCCGCCTTGACTACATCCTTCCGAACCACATGAATCCTGACAAAACTACAGTCGTTGCGCCGCAGCCCTCACTTTCACCTTTCGTTGGCACGGAGTCTCCGGTACTTCCCGCCATAAGCACAACATCTGTCTCTAGCGAAAGTGTATTTTCAACCGCTGAAGACATTGAAATGCAGCAGATTTGAACTTACTGTAGATAATGTGGACAAGTTGTTTTTCTGGCCACAAAAATATGAAGACTGAGTAAAACATCATGCTAGAACTTTTAGTGCCACGCTTTACCTTTTGAAAAAGTTTTGGTTACTGTTTATAAGGAATTAATTTTTTATAATATTTCATGCATTTGTTCCTTATTAGAGAATATTCTGTTTAACGTATTAGTATTACCAAGCAGCACTTTGCATTTATTTTATTTTCCTATTTGTACAATGTAAAAAAAACAAAAATTGTTGGTTTAATTAACACACAAAGGAACAACAAGTAAATGGTTTTGCATTTTGTTCCCATACTGTACCAAAAATGAACCAAACCGTGACCTCAAAACCGAGGTACGTACCGAACCGTGATCTTTGTATACTGTTACACCCCTAATATTTGTAATACTGTATTTCTGTATTTTATTTTTACTTGTACGTATACTTTTATATAATTATGCCTTATTTAACAAGAGTCTCTTGTTATTTTTGCTGCTTTTTTTTTTTTTTTTTTTAAATCTAAAAAAAATAGTACTCTTTGTCTTTATAATATATTGTGACGTGTGAACTACTGTGTCCAAACAATTTCCGTTGTGGATCAATAAAGTTAGTCTAAATTTAAGTCTAATATAATTTTGAAGCCATTAGCGTTAGCACTTGTGTTAGCATTAGCATTAGCCTAACCATATTAGCCTAATCTCTTCCTCTCTGGTGTCTCGCAGCGCTCATGTACGCCAGCATATTTGGAAACGTGTCAGCCATCATCCAGCGCCTCTACTCGGGCACGGCTCGGTACCACGCCCAGATGCTCCGGGTCAAAGAGTTCATCCGGTTTCACCAGATCCCAAACCCCCTGAGACAGAGGCTGGAGGAGTACTTCCAACACTCCTGGACCTACACCAACGGCATCGACATGAACACGGTACAGCGGGAGCCAGGATTTGGGCACTTCTGGTTTAAATGATATCGTATTTTAGTGAGGAATGTGTCAAAGAAAAAATCCGCACATTGATGTCTGAGAATCAACAGAACAAAACAGAGTTAATGAGATGTATTTATTTGATACATTAATCCACATTTCTTTAAGTCCCTGGACAGATAAACATGATCACACTAAAAACACAACAATAAGAATTATAGAAAACACTGCAATTATATAATGTACATATAGAGAAATAACACACTAGAAAACACACTAGAGCAATGGTCCCCAACCTTTTTTGCGTCACAGACTGGTTTTATGTCTGGTTTAGACCTGGTTTTAGTCCTGGTTTAGACTTGGTTTAGGCCTGGTTTAGACCTGGTTTACTTCTTGTTTAGACCTGGTTTAGTCCTGGTTTAGGCCTGGTTTTAGTCCTGGTTTAGACCTGGTTTACTTCTGGTTTACTTCTTGTTTAGACCTGGTTTAGTCCTGGTTTAGTCCTGGTTTTAGACCTGGTTTACACCTGGTTTAGTCCTGGTTTACACCTGGTTTAGTCCTGGTTTTAGACCTGGTTTAGTCCTGGCTTAGTCCTGGTTTTAGTCTTGGCATAGTTGTTGTTTTAGACTTGGTTTAGTCCTGGTTTAGACCTGGTTTTAGTCCTGGTTTTAGTCCTGGTTTAGTCCTGGTTTAGACGTGATTTAGACCTGGTTTAGTCCTCGTTTAGACCTGGTTTAGACCTGGTTTTAGTCCTGGTTTTAGTCCTGGTTTAGGTCTGGTTTAGACCTGGTTTTAGTCCTGGTTTAGTCCTGGTTTTAGTCCTGGTTTAGTTCTGGTTTTAGACCTGACCTTCATGTCCAAGTCAAGTCCCAAGTCTTTGTCCATTTTATCAAGTCAAGTCTCAAGTTCTAAAAATAGTGACACAAGTCTGACTCGAGTCCAAGTCTCTGGCAAGTTGGTTGCAGGTTCACTGCTGTGAAATACCTTGCAATTCCCACTGTGGTCATGGTTTCGTCTTGACAGATCTGATCTGTAACTGGGCCTCACACAAACGCTGAATGACATACTGCAAAATTTCAGTCAAAGCAATAACATCTCCATGGAGACAAGTTGGTGACAAACCTACTCCCAGAAAGGTCACAGTGTACCATTAAAAAATTATGTTAAAATACCCAACTACTAGGGATGTAGCAATATCCAAATCTCATGGTACGATATTATCACGATATTTATTGGGATATTTTGGAGAAGCTATTGTAGATAGGATACTTATTGCTTTTAAAATACCAAGTTACTTTAAAACTGTAATGTGTTATTTATTACTTGTTACTATCATTTCAAAGTAATTTGTTGCATTACAATATTACTGTATTTAAAATGTAAGGCATTACATTACTATTGCAGCACTTTTAAGTTACTCTCACCAAAATAACTGCAAAGATGCTGAACTTTTGCGCCGTATATGGACTGAACCAGGACTAAACCAGGTCTAAACCAGGACTAAACCAGGACTAAACCAGAGCTGAACCAGGAATGAATCAGGACTAAACCAGGTCTAAACCAGGACTGAACCAGGACTAAACCAGGACTAAACCAGTTCTAAACCAGGACTAAACAAGGTCTAAACCAGGACTAAACTAGGACCAAACCAGGACTAATCTTGGACTAGAACTTGGAATCTAGGGCCGCCCCTGAGAGAACCCTGAGCCTGTGTCTGCAAGGCGCGATCAGGCGTCAGCTGCAGTTAGCCCCATGGAGCGTGGAGCTCTGTGCCGGTCTTTTAGCCCGCAGTTTTCCTGACGGTCTACGCAGGCATTTCTCAGGAATTTCACTGCTGCTGATATTGCTGTGATTTTAGCGAATTTGTATGAAGAAAAACCCACCACTTCAATCCAGGTTAAAAAAGCATTATAACGCGTGTAACTGACATTTGTACCGAGTAAAATATTATAATTTTTTTCCCTTTAATGCCACATTACTGCGTTACAGCAAAAAGCAACGCATTACAGTAAATTGTTACTTTTATAACTCGTTACTCCCAACACTGAAATTACCTTAACAATACTCAATACAAATCACTACTGTCATAATCCCAAGAATTAAAGTAAAAAACATATTTCTTCATGTTGTCTGCACTGAAATGAATCATGGGATATGTAGTTCCCTATGTTTCTTTGCTGTTACTACTATAAAACAATGCATTTAAGAATTAACTTGTAATTCGATATATTGCGACAGCCCACGATATTATTACAAGACCTTTGACCATTCGATATCAGGATATTTCGGTTATCATTACATCCCTACCAACTTCTGTAAATTTGTTTGATTCTCAGTCCTCAAAAATGATTAGGGACCATTATTCTGCAATAGTTAACCACCCACACACAATATTAAAATTCAGCAAGACTCATTTCACTTCCCCCTATCTCACTTACAAAACTAGAGAATTGTATAATAACATTTGAAACTTCGCCGCGCTCGGATCAGTAACACTACAGTAATCCAAGAATTTATGCTAATTCCTAACTGTTTTTTGTTTTTTTTTCTCCCCTTTGCTTCACGTGCGGATGAACTCAACTTCGGCGAGAACAGGAGGTACGTGGTTTTTTTTTTTTCTTTTGCATGCTTCAATTAGCCATTTCTTTGCTGAATCTTTATAGCGCTATTTTTAATCATTTTCATTAACGGGATGACTCTGCAGCTTCTAAATGATCTGAAGATTGAGATTAATTGTGCGTTTTAGTATAGAAATAATTTGTTTAGAAGTTCAGATACAATTGCTTAAATGTGAAATGTGTTGGTTTATTAGTCCTGACAGCTAGAGGACACAGGATTTATTATGTTGGAGTTAATAATAATAAAAATGTGACTATGCGTGCAGCTGACGAGGGAATAATACGAGTGAGAATGGGCGCTACAATAAAGTGGGATTTCCTGTGTTAAGGAAGAGGGAGGTTTGATTGGATCAGAGCAGTTTAAATCCTTTTGGGTGTGTTTGACATGCAGATTTTGTATTTAGAGTCAAAGAGTTATTTTTAGCTCTAAGCCTTTGCTTGCCTTTGCTGGTAAACAAAGTGCAGGATGTGCGACGCTTTGAATGTTTTTGAATGGCGTTGTGAGATTGTAACTAGTTTTTTGTTGTTGTTGTAGTTCTTTATTGCATGAATGTTTTGGGGTTTTTTTTAGTCTTGAATGTGGGTATCAGACAAATGTGAAAAAATTTAGAGTAACATTACCCACAAAAGTAGGTAGGCATGTAACAATATCCAAATCGCACAGTACGATATTTATTGCGATATTTTGTAGAGGCTAATATAATTGTAGTTAAGACTCTTTTTTTTTGCTTTTAAAATGCCTTGACAAGAGTTTGGTGTGAATTATTTCCATCATAATCCCAAGATTTCAGCTAAAAAACATATCTCTTCATGTTGTTTACGCTGAAATGAATCATGGGATATGCAGTTCCTGATGTTTTCAAGGTGTTGCTACTATAAAACAACGCAAAAAGAACTTGTGATTCGATATATTGTGGGACTTTTGACGGTACGATATCACGATATTTCGGTTATTGTTACGTCCCTAATGAGAGTACATTTTTAAAGGTCCTATATTACACAGAATTGGCTCTTGTGAGTTTTTAGTCATGTTATAAAGTTGTTTCCTCCTCAAAAACATGCCTTGAGCTGGTTTTGTTTCAGTCCCACATGTTTCAGGAATCTAATATTAGTCTGTCTACATGTCCCAAACTCAAAATGCTCAGTTCCACCTTGTGATGTCATGAAGTGGTAATTCAAATTAACATCTACCTTAACCTTTTTTAGTAGAGAGTGACAATTCCAGAAATTCAAAATTCGAATGATTCTAGTGAAGGTGTATGGACTTTAAAACACAGTGGCGCATTTCATGTAATGCTACATGACATCACAAGGTGGAACAGAGTGTTTTATGTTTGAGAGAAGCAGGGTTTGTGTGTTAAACATATGTGAATGAAACAAAACACAACTCCAGGTCTGTTTTTGATGAGGAAACATTATAACATAGCCCAGAAAATAGTGTAATATGGCCCCTTTCATTTGCCTGATACAAGCATTTTTTATTATAAATTATATTCTCAATATTCATCTATGTTTGAGTAATCCTGTATAGTTCATTCAGCTTGCTCACAGGAGCTCAAAGCACTCGACCCCACCTCTTAACATTATTTGGTCATAAACAAAAGTACTATAATAATAATAAGAAGAAGAAGAAGAAGAAGATCTTTATTTATAAAGCACTTTTAAAAACAAGGTTTACAAAGTGCCTTACAAGCAGCAAAGAACAATACAAAAAGCATAAAAATAGGAAACAGAAAGCATATAGAAACAGACAATGATGCAAACAATCCAATAAATTATAATAAATAAATAAAAATAAAAAGAATTAAAATAAATAAGAATTAAAATCAAGCTAAAGCCAGTTAAAGGAAGGCCAACTGATAAAAATGGGTTTTAAAAAGTGATTTAGAAGATGATACTGATGGTGCGAGTCTTATCTCCTCAGGCGGGTTGTTCCAAAGCCAAGGCGCCCGGACTGAAAAGGCTTCATCACCTTTGTCTGGAGCCTGGACTTTGGAACAGCCACAGGGACCTGCCTGAGGATCTGCGGCTGCGGGAGGCTCATGCAGGGTTAAAAGTTCTGAAATGTAACTTGGTGCAAAACCTAAACGAGCTTTAAAAGTGAACAGCAAAAGTGATCAGTCATTATGAGTCATTATGATCACATGGATTTTCTACTCCACTTCAATGTAAGCAGCCACTATTTTAGCATTTTTGAAAAACTACTTCACTTTTAGGACATTAGTATTTGGAGTCCGTGTGCCCCTTGCTGGCATTGTTTTATTTATAGACATCAGGTTAGATAAATGTACTTTTCAGAATTCCATACTGCATATACAAGTTAAGTTAAACAACATAAGGTTACATTCACAAAAACACAGATTATAAACAACTACTGAATATGACTTAAGTGTTCTCCAACGACTATTTGCATCACAGATAAAGCACAATATTTTCTAAAGCAACTGTACTGTAGACAATTCCAAGATCTGGGAAATAATTTTTTTCATGCTGATATAAAGTTGCTTTTATTTTTTAAGCCTTTATAAGTGAAAGGATTCCTTGTTATCCCAGATTCTTTTGAAACTGACTGTTTTTTAAAGCTCAAAACACCTTCATTTGGCTCTCGTTTGGTACAGTTAACAAAGCCAGCACTCACATGCACACTGCTCTCCGTTGTGGGGGAGTTTTCTTGTTACACATTTAATAATATTTGCCTTGCGAGCTTTCCAGTTTATCTTGGGAGAAACACATGGAAGCTATATGCTGTTCTCCTCCCTATATATATATACACACACATGCATGGAGCTTCTATATAACAAGCTTGTTTTGGGTCAATATTTCTATCTCAGCGTGCCATCTAGCATAATTCAATCCAAGTATGCGCATTCCATCGGGTCATGAATAATTGCGCGGGCTGGAGCTTGCATAGGGACTAATGTACTTTCCTAAGGTTGGTGTGTTTCCCATCTTGACAGGTGTTGAAAGGATTCCCAGAGTGTCTACAGGCCGATATCTGCCTCCACCTCAACAAAAGCCTGCTCCAGAACACCAAGGCCTTCCAGGGAGCTTCCCAAGGCTGTCTCCGAGCTCTGGCCATGAGGTTCCAGACCACGCATGCGCCGCCTGGAGACACCCTGGTGCACAGCGGGGACGTACTCACCGCGCTCTACTTCCTGTCTCGCGGTTCTATCGAGATTCTCAAAGATGACATCGTGGTGGCCATTTTAGGTAAAGTGACATTTTTTTGTAAAGTCACTGTGAGGTCAAATTGTATTAATTCTTAAAGCTGCAGTATGTAACTTTTTGGTTGGGGGTTCGTCACCTACATATTTCTATGGATATGTCATTGCTCTGCCTGGAATGTTCCACAGTATGACATTAAACAGCTCTATCTTACATTTATAAAATTTTATACCTCAAAAATACCTAGAAAAACAGACATTCTGACTCGCCTCACCATAGATCTGACCTGTACAAGGATGTAGGTTTGCACTGGGACGATGGGGACATGTCACAACCAATATTTGAGGAAGACAAAAAAGTCCATACCAATATTTGCCATTTTATTTTAATAAACAAAAATATACATTTATTTCAATATTTTTCCAAACTCAATAGTATTACTTTAAGGCATTTTAGTTCATGTTTCGTTTTGAGCTGTATTCAATGATATGGCGACAGGGTTACTCCTGCCGCTATTTCATTGGCTGCAACAGAGTGATGTCATTAGTGGAGCCAGGAGCCTACACTGAGGAAGCTGCAGGACAGTGCCGCACCTGAAGATGGCGGCTTGAGCAGGCGTGAGTGAAGACACTGCGCCAAACTTTGAAAAACTTTTGAAAAGGAACTTACTTGGCTTCAGTTAAACTTGCCTTATAATGAGTCGCCGCAGAAAAAGAGCGACTATCACCACAAGTGCACCTCCCAAAATGAGCCCTACTCCTGCGCTGTCAGCAGCTGGACTGTATTGACAATATTCCATGGAAAAATGTTTGGACATTACCTCACAAATATCTCATCACCAACAAGCAAAGGGAAATCTGCTACAAACTTCTACATCATTGTTTTCTGGTAAAGCAACCTACAAGTAAGTACAAGTAATCTATCAGTTATCTAACTCCATGGAGACCGGCTGGCAAATGTATGTTTTCTTATGTATTGTTTTTAGCAATAAAACTCCTGAACTTGATGAACGGAAGATTGATGAGTCAATACGATACTGTGGAACTTTCCAGGCAAAGCAATAGCATTTCCATGGAGACAAGCATGTGTTAGATCCCCCACCAGAAAACAATCTTAGTGCACCTACAATAAATGCTTCTGTTTGGCTTTGGTATTGTTCAGATTTGTGCTATTTCAACATTACAGAGAGTTATTTAACAACCTACTGATGAGTAAAAAAATTATGCAAACACTAAACCCAGCCCCCAAAGCACGAGTCTAGTTAACGGTTGAAAGACAGTTACACTGGAAAGAAATTTTGAAATGCTTAAACAAATGAGCCAAAATAGTTTGACAAACTTCCACTGCTCTGGTCACTGGACTCATTTGCACATCTGAGTTTACAGTCCAGATCTCAGCGAGCACATTTTATCACAAAGTTGTCAACAACACCTGGGAACCACAGCTGGTCTAGGTTAGTCCAGCTGTAACCGTAGCAACCGTGGTCCTTTTGGTAAAACAGTGACAGGATATATATATATATTTTTTTTTTTTTTCACAAAGTTTCTTGACAACGATCCAGTATTTGGCCAATATCCTAGTTTATATTTGCATTTAGAGATTTTAATAAAGCTTTGCCACTTTTGTGATTTTACTGCTTTGGGCAAAATTTCTAAATTATGGCATTAATTGCACCTATTACCATGGAAACAAGCATGTGACGCGAAGATATATATGTTTCATGCCCTGCTATGGAACATTTCATGCAAAGTAATAACATCTCCATGGTGCAGGTTTTGGACCTCACCCCAGAAAAGTTACATAGTACATAGTGTACCCATAGACTGTAGATATAAATGGATGTAGCTTATCCACTAGCAGACGCATTACAAAAAAAAAGGAAGTGTTCATGAGGGCACATAGAGGCTCCATCAATCAATCAATCAATCAAACTTTAAACAAATCATCAAACCACAAAGCTAAGCTAAACCGTTTGATCTTGTAATTATTATCTGTGTCATAATTATTTCTTTTTTTTTTCCTATCTGGAATCTGGAAACTTATACTAACTGTCTGGAGTTTGGGACACTAACGATCTGGAACCAGTACATAAAGAAAAAAGAAACCCCTCTGCAACATCAGCACATACAACAAAAACACAATACAGACATAATCGACAAAAGTCTAGCAAACGGGGAGGAGAGGGAATTTGAGTCGACCCCAAAATATAGACAGGCAGCCTTTAGATTCTGCAACCAGGGGGCGCTGCATACAACAGACCCATCTGCCAATTCTGGGTGGGGTAAAAGCTGTGAGGGCGTAGAGAAAGTTGGGGAGGAGGAGAGGGGTATGTTCCGGGGGGACATCCAGGTTCGCCCGACCCTGAACTTCTTGTAGATGTAGTAAATAGTGTCAGTTGCATTGAGTGACCAAGTTATCAAAGTTATCAAATCCATACTTAATTTGCGTTCTGAGAGCAGAGTGGGGAGGATCTCTTAAAGTATAAAGACACTAGACGTAGACAGCGAGGCAAAGCAGTGAAGATAACATCAACTTGACTCTACACTGAAAAATCATCACCCCTCTCTCTGTAACTGCTGCAGTGAGCTCCGTCATTTTGATCTTAAAATGTTCTTAAAATGACTCTGGTGTTTTTATTTTGTTATTATTTTATTATTTACCGTATTTTCTGGACTATAAGTTGCTCCGTAGTATAAGTCGCACCAGCCAAAAAATGCCCAATGAAGAAGAAAAAAACATATTTAAGTCGCACTTTATAGTAATAACAACAGAACAGAGAACAAGAATTGAATAGAATTGAATTGAATAGGCATTAATATGTTAACGTAACATATTAACAGTTATTCAGATAATTAGAGCATAAACAACAGAACATAAGTTTACTAAACTCATGATCTCACTCCAAATCACTAAATCCACTGAATTCTTCATTTTCAGTGTCACTTCTGCGATAAATCATAGATCTATGAGGTAAACAGGGTGCCGCTTCCTCTTCTGCGTAGCTCTCATCACACTCAGCGTCAGTTCCAGTTAGAATTATTCCGGCCTTTCTGAATCCCGACAAGATGATTTCGATTGTCACTGAAGTTCAGGCTTTGTTGATTCATCCAGTGACTTCCAGGAAAGTTGCATGGTGCACCCCGCCCGGTTGCCATGAAGCTGTGTTCTTTTCATCCCCACTTTCTGCCAGTCCCTCACAAATTTCTCACTCCAAACTTTCTTTCTGCTGCTCGATTACTGTTTTTGGCTGCATATTTCACTATTTGCAGGGAGACAGCGGCTTTTTCTACAGGAGACATGCGCAGTAGAGCAAAGTGACGGTGGTACAGGAGTAATAGGAGTACTAGATACTGACCCACAAGCTTAGAGCGCCCTCTCATGGCTCTCAGTCTGAGAATTTTAATATATAAGTCACACCGGAGTGTAAGTCGCAGGAAACACCCAAACCATGAAAAAAACTGCGATTTATATTCCGAAAAATACAGTACTTCTTTATTGAGTCTATGAGTGCACCTTTTAAATAGTAAATCCAGCCTACATGATGTTAATTGGTGTTTTCAGTTTAAAACCTGTCTGGATCTACATCTACACATCCCCACTCTGAAATTAAACTTACTAAAGAGACATTTCCCTTAAGAAAAATGTCATCAAATCAAAGGCCATGTTTTGTCAGATCTTGAACACATTAATAATCGCGTGGAGCTAGTATAACGACTAATGCACTTTACTCACATCGACCGGAATGTTGATGTGCAAAGACTGTTTCATATGTCAGCTTGTATGACGAATGTGAATGGTGTTGAAAAGCTGCTGTCATGAAAGGAACAATGGGCAATGCTAGTCTGTAATGGACAGAGCTAGCAGCGGCGCCTTCAGAAAGAGTGACTGTTGTATTGCAAACGCTCCGATCTGAGAAAAAAAATATCCCGGCAATTTGATCGTAGCTAAAACACATGTTCGCAGGTTTTGACAGAAATAGCAGAGAGCGGCCGGCGTTGCGCAGTCCTCTTGGCAATAGGGCCGCTCGTGTGACAGGTTTGAAGCTGTGACATTTCTATTAAGTGCCTCCATGAAAAGGTTGTTTGGCAATTTTCAGACAAAATGGGAATATCTCCGCTGTTCTCTTGACAGCAGCAGGAAGCAGCTCGGATACAGGATTATTGGAAAGAGCCGCAGAATGACACGCCTATGTGGCTGCTGGTTATTTTAAAACATGTTCTGCTGTATTGTATGATGAGTTGTTGTTTTTTTTAGTTTTTTTTTAGTGGACCTGTTTTTCTTTCAGTCAGGTTCATAGTCACTCTCCACACTTGATGGTGAATAGGGAAGATTGGAAGTGAGGTGGTCAATTTGAGCCATCAGTCCCTCTAGACCTAGCCTGATTTATCAGCCGGTTTCACTTTGTGGAAACCGTCTGACCTCGCAGCATTAAGATTTGTTCACTCGATGGTAGGCGGGTACTTTTTTTAATTTAACCAATCGCTTCTATTTGTTTGTGACTGGTATATTAAGCTTTTCCCAAATCCTGTTGGAAGAAGGGCAATAACTTCTTTCCCCTTGATAAAATTCACCAAACATTCTCTTTATTCTGGCTTTAAATCCTCAATCTCAGGAATCATTGCCAGCACAGAATGTATGGCTCTTCGCTAATTGGCTAGTGCCCAGACTTGCACTTCTGGGGTTCTTGGAAACCGTTCCTGACCTAGACGCTGGAGAGAATTGCAGTTGAGCAGAGGCATTAGGTGGGGCCAGCCTGGCTATACTCTAGACCATCACTGACTCACACTTTCCATAATTATATAGACAAGGTAAAATGTGTCATGTGTAGAACATAGAATACAGTAGTCTAATGTAGAAGACAGCAAAGACTAGTTGGAGCTGGGATTGAACTTGTAACCTTTGGGTTGGTGGGGAAACTCTCTAACCCAGAGGATGACAAGTGGAAGAGGAAGAGGCGACCATTGGCCCCTCCACTCACAATACATAGGATAGGATAGAACATAGATAGGATGGGTGAAGAGTTATTTTTCAGGGATAGAAGACAG